CTGGTTGGATGAGGCTTTGGGCAACCTGGTGTAGTGGAGGGTGTCCCTGCCCATGGCAGGGGGGTTGCAACTGGATCATCTTTAAGGTCCCTTCCAACTCAAACCATTCTATGATGTGCTTTCACAGGCTGTGGTCATCCAGCTCCATTTCTCCCCCCTGTGGGCACAGGCTCCTTGTTTTTTTAGCAGGAGAGGTGACGCTTTGAGGAGAGGATGGTGTGGCTCCAGGTCCCAGAGGGGACAGGAACAGTGACAACCGGCACGGGGAAGCTGCTGCCAAGAAGAGGATAAGCACCATCAAGAACAAGGCTTTACTGCACCTCATCCCTGGGAGCCAGGGAGCTCCTCCAGCCTGGGCAGCAGGCAGCTAAGTTCATGGCTCTGAGCTAACTGCAGTCACTAACCTAGTGTACGAGATTCAAACAGCCCGCCTGCCCCAGCAGCCGCTGCCCCAGGGACGCTGAGCCCAGCCCAGACCTGTCCTGGCCCATTTCACTGTGAGCAGGAGCAGTTTACCCACCGTGCTCCCTACAGCCAGGGGAACGGGCTTGCCAGTGCCAGTGTTTTTATTAAAAGCTGCTTACCCAGTTACTAACAAGAGGGCTTTGAAAGAGCAAGCTCCAAAGGTTAATTGTGGCAGTTGTTAGCATGAGTGGATGACGGGCCTGCTCCCTTGTCCTCAGCACAAAAGCCTAGGCCTTTCCATTTTATCCCTGTCCCTGTTTCTGCCTGTGCTAAATGACCCTCCTCTATTTCTTTTTCTGTTCCAGTCTCCTCATTTGAAAGCACCCTTTCTTTTTTTTTTAATTTTTAAACTTCCCTTCGCTCCATTTTGACCACATGCTTTGGCAAACCATGTTTGACTGCAGCAGCAATAGTGTGAATGTGCTGTTGGCCAGGGGACACCCCTGTCCCTTTCCTGGCTCCCCTGAAAGCTGGCATGGGGCTAGTGCGGAGAGCTGGGCTGCCTCCAGCCTCAGCCTTTGGCAACACTTATAAGCTGTTTTAGCAAGGTTGTAAGGTGTCCACTGTTAATTTGCTTTCAAATACTGACACTTGAGCTTGGTTCATTCCCAAGGGAAGCCAGTGTGCCTTCACCCTTACTGCCTGCAGGACAAGAAAGAAATATTGGACAAGGGCACTTGGTTGAGGCACAGCAAGCTTGTGACACAAGAAACCCTGAGATGAGACGCTGCGGAGTTGGCAGCAGGGTGAATGATCGGCACCTCCGAAGTGTCCAGTCCTGAGCAGCTCATGAACTCCAACACCGAGGCAGCCAAAAATCCCCAACAAGTCCGTGGTCACTTTGGAAAGTGTTAACCTGGCCTCCAGCATCCCCAGGATGGCATACGCTGATCCTGATAAATCAGAGCGCCTGCCAGGCAGCACTGACTGCCAGCCTCTGGGCTCCCCTCCTTCCTTCTGCACGACCATGGGCACACATAACTTGTGCTGAACTCCCGGCCCCAGGGGAGGCTCCCCCAGAGATGGGTTTCCCAGTAGTACGCAACCCTGATCCACGAAGGACTCCCCTTCCCCACCCGCCTCCCAAATCCCCCTCCCGCCCCCTTCCCCAT